GTAGAATAAAATGTAGCTAATGTGTGGCTTCTAACTTTTAATGAGAATATACTAAAGTGTTTGAGAGTCAAAAATCTAAAGTAAAAGGGATACTAATAAAATCATGAATAACTCAGAGAATGTTTCACCAAGAGAAAAATTCAACTAGGGGTCTGGGCATAAAAAATAATAAAACAACTCTGTGAGGCTCTGCCATCCAAATAGAGGAAGAAAGAAAGAAAGAAAAAGAAAAAGAAAAGAAAGTATTTAATTGTTGCTTTGCAAAGACAATGAATTCTTCACGCGCAGGTTCCCCCGTGTCTCATTACTTTATTTCAATTCCTCGATTAATATGCCTCAATTTCTTCATTTTTATTCCTTAATTAATTATGGCCCTGGCCAATCTGACCCACTGGATATGAATGACTGAAGACCAGAAGAGTTGTAAGACGATATCAAGAACATCATACATGAGAAAACAAAAGGTCATTAAAAAGAAAAGAAAGATCAAAATGAGTATCAGAAGGAACCCTGAAACTTGCTCTTAAATATAAGGAAGCTAAGCATCAGAAAGAAAAGATGAAGTATTAGAGTTGAACAGAAATTATCAAAGGGCAGTTGAAGAAGACAAAGTATTATAATGAAATGTACAAAGACCTGGAGTAAAAAACTAAAAGGGAAGAACACACTCAGCATTTCTCAAGCAGAAAGAACTGAGTTTGATAAAACCCAAGTGTTGAGTTGCAAAAATATCTTACACAAGTAGAATTCTGCTGAAGGTAATTTTGGCAACATTGAATCAATAGGGTGTTCCCAGAAATTCAAGCTAGATTCAGAAGATGGTGTGGAATGAGGGTTATCACTGCTGACATCAGATGATTCTTAGGTGAAAGAAGAGAGTATCAGAAAGATTTTACTTTGATGTTGTTGACTACACAATGACATTCAACTGTGGGAATCAAAACAAACTATGGATCACATATTGAAGATTGGGAATTCCAGAACACTTAATGCTGTTCATGTGGATCATGTGGATCAAGAGGCAGTCACTAGAACACAACAAGGGAATATTGAGTGATTTAAGATCAGGAAAGGTTTGCATAAAGGGTGCATCCTTTCACCATATTTATTCAATCCGTATACTGAACAAATACTGCAAGAAGCTGGACTATATGAAGAAGAATGCAGCATCATAACTGGAGGAAAGTTCATCAGCAACCTTCCATACGCAGATGACACACCATGCTTGCTGAAAGGTTAAGAGGGCTTGAAGCTGATGAAGATCAAAGACAACAGACTTCAGTATGGATTACACACCAATGTAAAAACAAAACCAAAACTAAACCCCACTGCCTTTGAGTTGATTCCTACTCATAATGACCCTATACAGGACGGAATAAAACTACTCCTTAGGGTTTCTAAGACCGTAAATCTTGACGCCAGCAAACAGCCTCATTTTTTCTCCCACAGAGCTGATGGTGTTGTTGTTGTCAGGTGCCATCAAGTCAGAACCGACTCATAGCGACCCCATGCACAGCAGAACGAAACAATGTCCGATCCTGGGCCAACCTCACTACCGCTGCCACACTTGACGCCATCAATGATGCCACCTGGCTGATCCATCTCATTGGGGGTCTGAAATGAGCTGATGGTGGGGCTGAAATGATGATCTTGCAGTTAGCAGTCCAACTGTTAGTTCACAGTGCCACCAGGGCTCCTTGGTGGTTGGTGGTTACATGCCGTGGAGTTGGCTCCAACTCAAAGTGACCCTGTACAGGGTTTCCGAGGCTGTAAATCTTTACGGGAGCAGAAAGCCTATCTTTCTCCTGCCGAACAGCTAGTAGTTTTGAACTGAAGAAAACAAAAATCCTTACAACTGGACCAATAAACATCATGAGAAAAACTGAAGTTGTGCAGGATTTCATTTCACGTCAATCCCAAAATACCAAAGAACTGATGCATTTGAATTTGGTGTTGGCAGAGAATATTGAATGAGCAAATCTGTCTTGAAAGAAGTACTGCCAGAGTGCTCCTTAGAAGCAA